AAAAATTTTATCTTTATCTATGATAGTACATGTGCACATGAGAGAGGAGCACTCACTATAGGTTTGGTCCCTCTGATCCCCTGCCTCATGCATTCACACATGTGCCTGGTCAGTTTGACTGGGCCAAGGATTCCAAGAAGAGGTCACCATGTGGGATCCGACTTCCTTTTTTTTTTTTTTTAATTATTTAATTGTATTTGTTTATTTATTTTATTTTATTTATTCATTCATTTAGTTTAATTTGACCAGAGACACAAAGACAGAGAGAGAAAGGGAAAGTGAGAAAGCAAGCCACCAGGTCCAGACCTGAACTGTGGTCGACCATGTGGGAGTGTCCAGCATCTTAATCACCATACCACCTGCTGGTCCCGAGATCCGGCTTCTCTTGTGCAGCACGTTACCACTGCTCCGTAGAATAGCCCTCTTGGTACCTTTAAAAAATAAGTATGCTACCTAGGGTAACTTTTAGCTGATAGACTTAATTTCTCTTTACCTGAGAAAAGTTTGGTATTTCTTTATCTGACTATTAGGACAAATCCTACCCTATTTGGAACTTTCTTCATCAGTAATTAGGATTCTAAAAATAAGGAATTACAAATTTAGTTGAATATTTTCTGATCAAAACAGAACACTTTTCTTCCTGGATTTGTTCCAGTGAGACTTAAATATGTATTGGTCACTTCTTTAAAATACAAAGTTAGTTTAATCATTGAGGTTTGTTCAATAAATAGGATTAATATGTTTCTTTAAGGTTTATTTATTTAATCCCTTTATTTTATTATGTTTTATTTGACCAGAGAGAGGGAAAGTGAGAAAGCAAGCTGCCAGGTCCAGGACTTGAACCATGGTTGGTCATGTGGGAATCCAGCACCTTTAACTATACTACCACCTGCTCCGGATTAATAGGTTTTTTCCTAATCCCACTCACTTTTGAGAATTCACCAAATCAGACATATGCTCTCAACTAAAACTTTTAAGAAGCAGATTGGTCATTAGGGAATTTCAGAAGTCATCCTATACATGCAATGGAGAACAAGGTTGCAGGAGGCAGGCATTATGTATTGCTATGTAAACAATTTGAGTTACATCAGCGTATTACTGGCATCTTATATCTCACCAGGGAAGGACAAAACTAGGTTTGTGGAAAGTGGGTTGCTTGACTCATGGGGTTGATATACTAGAGGGTTAATGACAGAGTTTGCCATAGAGTTAGAAAGCTGAACTATGGGAACCAGCAGTTAGCGTAATGGCTATGTCGCTGGACTCCCACGTAGTCGACCGTGGTTCGTGTCCCGGACCCGGTGGCTTAAAACTCATGCCGGGCGCGTGTGCGTGCGTGCCCAAGATCCCAAGAGGAGAATGGAGGAGAAGGGATTGCGGCGTGACCATCCCCCCCGGGGGGTGATTTCTCGCTTTCTGTCTCTATGTCTCTCTCTGTCTGTCTAGCGAGCGCACGCACCCTACAGTGAAAATCTCTCCCAAAAAAAAAAATTTAAATATTATCAAGTCAAACCCTCCAACAAATCTTGAACATACCCACTTCTCTCCATCTTCACTAATATCACGTTAAGCCCAAGTCATCATCATCTCTGCTCTTGCTTCATAAGTGGTGCTTCTATTTCCTTCTTTAATATCAAGCCAATACCTCCAACCTACTCTACAGAGTAGTGGAATGATCATCTGGAAGCACAGATTTTGTCACTCCTTGTCTTAAGGTTTTCCATAGGTCCCACTTTTTGACCCATGTTATTATCTGCTTGCTATGTTCCCTGCACAATTTGCATTTCAGAGGAGACAGCAGTGAGCAAGACAGATAAACATTACTACTAAATATAACTTAAATTCTAATGAAGGGAAAGATAATAAACAAAAACACCCCCTCTTAGCAAGAGGCATGGAGTTAAAGATGCTGGATTCCCACATGGTCGACCATGGTTTGAGTCTCGAAACTGGTGACTTGCTTTCTCGCTTTCCCTCTCTCTCTCTCTCTCTGTCTGGTCACGTTAAAAAATGATAGTAATAAACAGAATTAAATAAATAAATAATTCTATTTTTTTGAGGGGGGAGCAGTTTGCTATAGGGCACCTGCACTAGCCAGAAAGACAGAGAGAGACAGAGAGACAGAAAGCAAGAAATCACCCCCCAGGGGAGTTAGCCATGCCTCAATCCCTTCTCTTCTATTCTCCTCTCAGGATCTTGGCCACACATGCACACACACCTGGTGTGAGTTTAAGCCACCAGGTCCAGGACTCGAACCATGGTCGACTACATGGGAGTCCAGTGACATAGCCATTACACCAACTGCTGGTCCCAATAGTTCTGTTAGAAAAAGAAAAAGCCTCAAGAAAAAGTAAATTATAAACATGTTAGATAATGATAATTGCTATTTTTTTAAAAAGTGGAGAATTAGCATGTCCAAGAGTAGTAGGAGTTGCAGGTTTCAGTAAGGTGGGCAGGAGAGGCCTCATTGTGAAGGTACCTTTTGAGTAAAGACCTGAAGAAGGTGAGGCAAGCAGGTGGAATCTGGGGAAAACTGCATTTCTAGAAGAAGAAAGGGCAAGTGAAGAAAATCACCAAGAAGCAGAAAGTGTGAAGGGGAGAGAATCAGAAATGGAATTAGAGAGATGACAGAGGCCAGATTATGGAGGATATTATAGATGTTGAGTGAGAAGTTCAACATGGAAGAGACATGTTTTTAGGGTTTTAAAGAAACATGGACACATGGACTGTCTGAAAGGGAACAAGGGCGAAGGTGAAGAGACCAGTTGGAACCCTGCTGCAATATTTTGGGTGAGATGTTAGAACAGAGTGAGCCAAATACTGCTCAGCCTCTGTGAGTTGAGGCAGAGAAGAATGAAGGCTAGTTTCCAAGGCTTTTAGTCTGACTCATCGAAAGCCCGGAGTTGTCATTACCTATGATGGGAAAATACCAGGGAGGAGGAGGTCTTGGGGGGAATCAGGAACTTGGCTTTGGATAGGGTTCATTTAATATGCATATTAGACATCCCAGCAGCAAGATCACGTAGGCAGTTGGATATTTAAATGCAGAGTTTGAAAAAAAAGCAGAAGCCCTTTTGATAACCAATTTTGGTGGTTACTCAGGGATCAAAGATAGAACAAGGTTGCAGGAGGCAGGCATTATGTATTGCTATGTAAACAATTTGAGTTACATCAGCGTATTACTGGCATCTTATATCTCACCCGGGAAGGACAAAACTAGGTTTGTGGAAAGTGGGTTGCTTGACTCATGGGGTTGATATACTAGAGGGTTAATGACAGAGTTTGCCATAGAGTTAGAAAGCTGAACTATGGGAACCAGCAGTTAGCGTAATGGCTATGTCGCTGGACTCCCACGTAGTCGACCGTGGTTCGTGTCCCGGACCCGGTGGCTTAAAACTCATGCCGGGCGCGTGTGCGTGCGTGCCCAAGATCCCAAGAGGAGAATGGAGGAGAAGGGATTGCGGCGTGACCATCCCCCCCGGGGGGGGATTTCTGGCTTTCTGTCTCTATGTCTCTCTCTGTCTGTCTGGCGCGCGCGCGTGGCCTATCGC